AAATAAAAAAATCCCCAAAAATTCTATCTTTATTTGCATTTATCGTTTGCTACCCCTTCAAATTTATCACAATTCATCTTACCATCAACCAAAAACCATCAATTTTGTTTAAGTTGCTTCACTGTTAGCGATTTTTCTGTGGCATCTCTACGTGCGATAACACATAGAAGGAAAAAGTTCAAGAAAAGCCCCAAAAAAAAGAAGGAAATCTAACTTTAATCGGAGGATTATGGTGCAAATTCAGGTTCAACCCCAGAATGTGGCGACGCCTGGGCCCAATGGTGCGGCTGCCGGCCAGTTTTTGTCGACCTCTCTGTACGTTGGTGACCTGGATATCAACGTGACGGACTCCCAGCTCTACGATCTTTTCAATCAGGTTGGGCAGGTTGTGTCAATTAGGGTTTGCCGTGACCTGAGCACTCGCCGCAGCCTTGGCTATGGTTATGTTAACTATAGCAACCCCCAGGATGCGGCAAGAGCTATGGAAGTTTTGAACTTCACTCCCCTCAACAACAAGGCAATCCGGGTCATGTATTCTCATCGGGACCCAAGCGTCCGAAAAAGTGGAACCGGTAATATTTGTATCAAGGATTTTGATAAATCAATTGACAACAAAGCACTGCACTACACTTTCTCAAGCTTTCGGAATATACTCTCCTGCAAGATTGCTACTGATCCTAATGGCCAATCACAGGGCTATGGGTTTGTCCAATTTGAAACTGAAGAAGCTGCACAAAATGCTATAGATAAGTTGAATGGGATGCTTATTAATGATAAGCAAGTGTATGTTGCGCATTTCCTACAAAAGCAGGAGAGAGAAACTGAAATCATCAAGACAAAGTTCAATAATGTGTTTGTGAAAAATTTGGCCGAATCTACTACTGATGATGATCTGAAGAAAATGTGCTTGCATTAATCGTTAATTTTGTATTTGTGCATGTTTAGTTCATTTCATTTATATGATTTTCGACTTATTCGATGTTATGAACAATTGTGGTGCCTTGATGTGTTTTTTTAGTGTCTTTCAGTGTTTTGGGATTACTTCTAGCAGGTGGCGTTATTGAGTCCAATATGTGAGATCGATAAACTTTTGTTCGCTGCAGTACTGGGTACCCTAGTATTCCGTATCAGCACCCCGTACTGGACAACAACACCCCATAACCGATACAATATATGCTCAATTTTTTTAATTGTCTTGGTCTAGGACTTGAATATTAAAAGAGAAACAAAGTAGTAGTGGTTGGGCTTGCCCCCAACTAATTTGAAATTATTGAGACAACAACAATGGAGGAGGATGGAGGAGTTTTGATCAGTAGGGCCACTATGAATTATTTGATCAACATGCCAACCACGCAGCAACATACATAAGACTAAGAATAATTATAAGGAGCCACCTAAAGCCACCTAATTATTGAAGGTTGGCCACCCATTTATTTCACAAATAAAAGAGAAGGCTTTGGAGGTTGGATATTTAAAGAGGACATACGTGGTGGATGTGGAGGGGGAAGAAAACAAAAGAGAAGAAAAGGGGAGCAGGAGCAAAAGAGATCACAACGCAGAAGCAGAAGCAGTATAGAGGCTTGACAGAGAAGAATATTTTTTCTTTCTTTTTTCGTATAATTATTATGATTATGTCTTTGAATATTGTGCTTGAGTAGTTTCTTATTCTAGTATAGGGGAAGTCGAACCTTACGATTGATTATGTTTTGATTAATTTATTTGGTTGATAATTTCAATATCTTTATGGAAGTGTTTGTGTTATTTTGAATAATTAACCATGATGTGTTAAGTCTTATTTAGATTGATCACCTAGATTGGATTCTACATATCTACAATTGAATTAGACCATCAATTCGTAATTGTTGTTATGTTTAATTCATAAGAGGCTACCGAAAGACGGTAACTACCGGGGATAACACAACCTATTTAAGTGAACAACGCGGTTAAGTTCACTACTTAGTCTAGTCTATTTTTCTAATTCGTAAAGCGGCTGATTGTATTAAATCTAAGAAGCGTTTTCTAGAATGTACAAGAAGTAAGTTTTAATCGTAGAGCGTCTCGCGGTTAAATTAAAAATAAGGAAAAATTCAGGTAACAGATCGTGTCGTTACCTAGGGCTAGTAATTCCATAAGATAGCGAAATTTGATACAAAAGTTGATTAGACAAGTCGGTCGAGGGTGTGGATGGAACCGTGAACTAGAAGCTTTCCTACATTTATTTGATAAATCATCTTTCTTTATTGTATTTGATTTCATTTTGTCATTTATAATTCTAGTAGTTAAACAATTTAATCAAAACCCCATTTGATATAGCCACGGCTAGTACTGCCGGCTCGATCGGTAGTATCTGATATAGCATGTCGTACCCGACCGGTTTTTGTGGATATATATTAAAAAATACGCCTATACATGGGCTAAGACACTTGATATGATAATATGGGCTGATCCCAACCTAGGCCAGGCCCAACTTGGACTATAAGGTACACTCCCCCTATAAAAGGGGAAGGAGGTACTCATTTCTTCTCATCCTCTAAATCATTCTCTAAGAACTCTCTCCCTACTCTCTCTCTCTCTCTCTATGCATATGAATCCAATACTGACTTAAGCATCGGAGCCCCAAAGCCGGGCACCCCTCCCGGGGTTCCTGGCTTTGGGTTCATGCAGTTACGGTGGCCGTCCAAGTCAACGGAGCCGGGATCTTTGTCCCATCATTTTGGCACCGTCTGTGAAACCCGTTCGAGAAGCCAAACGGTGTCTCGTCTGAAAATTCAAACAAAGCTCCTTCGACTCGAGCAGCCGCCGCCACCGGCACCACCTCCGGCCGCCACAGCTGCCGCCGGCCTCCGGCCAAAGTGAC